AAAAAGAAAATGTCTGATCATACTAGCAAAAATGTGATCCTTGGCTCCAACTTTCAGATACTGTTTACTTCAGCCTTGTACTAATGTAGACAGGCTAAGGCCACTTTCTATTCCTGGCATTCTTCTGATTTCCTTAGCAGCCCCAAGGTATGTCTATGAGCAAACATGACCTTTAAAGTTTAGTTTGCTCAATGCCTGCATTATCTTTTCTTCTGATTACATTCTGAAAGTTCTCAGGGTTTTATTTCTTTTCTTTAATTATTTTTATTTTTTGAGACACCGTCTCACTGTTGCACAGGCTGGAGTGATCTCAGTGTGATCTCTGCTCACTGCAACCTCTACCTCCCAGGTCAAGCGATTCTCCTGCCTCAGCCTCACAAACAGCTAAGATTACATGTGCGCACCACCACGCCTGGCTGATTTTGCATTTTTTGTAGACAAAGGGTTTCACCATGTTGGCCAGGCTGGTCTCTATCTCTTGACCTCAAGGGATCCACCCACCTCAGCCTCGAAAGTGTTGGGATTACAAGTGTGAGCCACCCCACCCATCACAGGGCTTTTATTTTTTTCATTATATACACATTTGCCTTTTAAAACCCATATGTTGAAAATGTTCTAACATTTGCTTAACACTGACATCATGGATAGTTGCTTTCCACTTATATGATGTAATCTTTATAATCTGCAGGTCATCAGTGTAGCTAGGGGCTGTGTGAAACAGTTTAAAATATGACCTCTAGCCCCAAGGAATTTACCATCTAGTAAGGGATATATTAGCCACAAAAATACACTAGGTAGTATGTGGTCTCTGATGTCTAGACAATGCTGTCAATGAGTTTTATTAATAAAATAGCTGCAGAAGGAGAAGACACTTTTGGCTGGGGTAGTAAATCTCCATTAAAAAAGGCATTGCTGGCCAGGTGTGGTGTCTCATGCCTGTAATCCCAGCACTTTGGGAGGCCAAGGCAAGAGGATAGCTTGAGCCTAGGAGTTTAAGACCAGACTGGGCAACACAGTGAGATCTTGTCTCAAAAAACCAAAAAACTGGATCTTTTATTTGTGTGTGTGTGAGTTTATAATATTTATTTTATTTATTATAAAATAGGCAAGAGATATTAACGTCACTCATTGTAAAGAGCAATAAAAAAAGCCACAAGGTTTAGACTAGGAAAGAAGATAGGTACTTCACAGCTCCCATGAGATTTATACCACATTTAACAGACTTTGATGAGATTGTGATGAGATTGTGTTTTAGTCTTGGACATATCCAAAACTGGATCTTTTAAATTAGAAGGAATTGGTTAGACTTTAATCAGATGAACTGAAAAAAATGTTTAGGTTTGTGCTCATTTGAACTACAGTTTCTTTTAATTCAACTAGTTTGTCAGTTGTTCATAAAAATAACCACATTCTTCCTTCTCTTGAATTTTCATTTGGTTTTTAAAGGCTGAACCAAAAGCTTCAGGATTTTCACACGGCCTTTTGCCATTTCATAGCTCCATGTTTCCTTGGTGATTCCCGTGTTCATAGTCTGCCAGGTCCACTTGGAGCTGTTGCCACTCTGCATTCCTCCTCCATTGCTGGTGATATCCTTTTCTTCTTCTTCTTCTTTCTATAAAGAAAGTGACTTATTTTCTCAGGATTCTGAGTTGGCAGAAGTTACTGCAAGTATTAAATCTCCATTCACTAGTGAAAGAGAAGTGTCTGATAATCTTTAAGCAATGATTAAATTTTGTGTCCTCAGTCACATTGGTGTTAGATTGCATTTTTTCCTTTATAAATCTGGGCTGAATTTTAGTTTCAAGATGATTTCAGAATATTGTTTAAAATATTACTCAGTACCCTTGCTACTATCTCATAAGTAATATTGAGTGTACATATGCTTCAACAAGGTTTTTTTTAATTAAAAAAAAAAAACCTTGCCCCCCACCAGGAGTGGTATAAATTTGCTATTTGTTACACTTTTCTAAAAATTTTATCAGCATATTCTATTTTACTGAGGGTTTTTCTTTTTTCTTTTTTTTTTTTTTTTTTAGATGCAGTCTCACTCTGTTGCCAGCCTGGAGTGCAGTGCTGTGATCTCGGCTCACTGCAACCTCAGCAGTGAGGTAAGTAAGGGCCCAAAAACCCTAGTATAGGGCCAGGGGAACATCTGATTACGGCAAAGAAGTCAAAGGATTGTTAAGAAGAGGCTAGGAGTATAGGAAAGTTTATTAACAACAGGATGATATTTGAGAAGATATTGCAGAATTACTAGGAGCAAGAACAAGCTGATTAAGGGAAAATGAAAAGAAAAATGTGACTAGAGGTACTTATGAAGGAGACAGGGCATTGGGAAGTCACCAAAATTTTCAGGGAGATGAGAGATACAAGGAATATGAATGGAATTATAATGCTAATTTTTAGCTGAATATTGTCTGGGAGAGACAAAGCAAAGAAATTGAGAGATGGAAGAGATGTTAATACAACCAAAACACTAATTATGGCTGAAATGTTGTTTAAGAAAGATAAAGATTGTGATACAAATGAAACAAAACCACGAAATTTTGTCTTCATATTGTTTAGGGGAGGGAGATGAAGCAAAATTGAGATGATCTGGAAGCCACATGTAATATTAATATAGCCTCTCCTTTAAAGTTTTTGATTTCAGGTTTAAACATTTTGTTGTGGGGAAAACATGGGCATCTTCAACCCCAACATTCTCCAGTTATTTATCTTTAGGAATTGGAAATACATTAAGTGCCTGATTTTGGATATTCATACATTCAGTTCTAGTGCATCCCATTGTCCCAGCTTGGTTATTTATGTATTTATATACTTTTTATTATTTTTTAGTCAGTTTGCTGGGGAATATTTATTTATTTTTAATATATACTTCCCATGCTATAAAATTCAGCCCTTTAAAGTGTATAATTTAATGGCTTTTAGTATATTAACAAGATTGTACAATATTGTCTTACTGTATGATATTGCAGAAAGGTTGTAGAAGGTTGTGCATCACCACTAATTCCAGAACATTTTCATTATTTAAAAAGAAACCCTGTACCCATTAAAGTCACCCCCCATTTCCTCCCTACCTTCAACCCCTGGCAACCATTAATTTACTTTTGGTATCTATTGATTTGACTATCCTGGACATTTTATATAAATAGAATCACATAATGTTGTCTTTTTGTGTCTGACTTCTTTCACTTAGCATAATATTTTCAAGGTTCATCTATGTTGTAGCATGTATGAGAATGTTATTCCTTTTTGTAACTGAAAAATGTTCCATTGAATGGCTATACCACATTTTGTTTATCCATTCATCAGTCAATATGGGCATACCTTGGAGATATTGTAGACTCAGTTCTAGACCATCATAATAAAAGGAGTAACATAAATTTTTGGTTTCCTGGTGTATATAAAGGTTATGTTTACACTATACTGTAGTCTATTAAATGTGCAATAGATTATGTCTAAAAATGTACATACCTAAACTTAAAAATACTTTATTGCTAAAAAATCTAATGATCATCTGAGCCTTCAGCGAGTTGTAATTCTTTTGCTGGTGGAAGGTCTTGTTGCCTTGATGTTAATGGCTGCTGATGGATCAAGGTAGTAGTTGTTGAAGGTTGGGGTTGTTGTGGCAATTTCTTAAAATAAGACAAAAATGGAGTTTGCCATATCAATTGATTCTTCATGAAGGATTTCTCTGTAGCATGTGATTCTGTTTGAGGGCATTTTACCCACAGTAGAACTTCTTTCAAAACTTCAGTCATTGATCTCAAACCCTGCCACTGCTTTGTCAACCAGTTTATGTAATATTCCAAATCCTTTGTTGTCATTTCAACAATGTTTGCAGCATCTTCACAGAGTACATACCATCTCAGGAACCTACTTTATTTCCTCATCCATAGTAAGCAACTCCTTATTTGTTCAAGTTTATCATGAGGCTGCAGCAATTCAGTTCTATCTTTAGGTTCCACCTCTAAATCTCGTTCTTTTACTATTTTCACCACATATGCAGTTACTTCCTCCACTGAAGTCTTGAATCCCTCC